AAACAATCACGCTTAAGCTACATAATCTTTACTCCCTGGAATGGAGATAAGAAAGGCCCTAACCCTTGGAATAGAAATTGATAGGATTAAAATCAACTGGTATAAATACAGATGTAACAAGACAATAAAACACAGAACCTGGCTGGAGATCCTGGCTAGGCTGCTGATAACTGAACGCTGTCTCCGTGTCATTCCTTCTTTGCCGACTCCGTCCACACCTTTGGGAACCCCTGGGCCTGCTGGGGTTGGACCCCAACAGTTTTCTCTGAGTAGAAATCAGTATATCCTCAGTTTTTTCCTTCCTACATATTAAAGTTTCCTCATTGTTAAAAAAAACCCACTATACTTACATTAAGATATAAAGGCAATTTACATGTCTAACCTGTTACTCCACTCATTACCAGTATTTCCTGAACTTATTTGGTGATTCTTTTCCTTTTACTGTCCTATGTGTTTCTCTTGGACTGCTGTGTTCAGGTGAGAAGGGTAATATTCCCAGGTACAAGCTAGTGATTTCCCCTTCAATAGTCCACCAGAAACTCTTTTCTTCCTCCAAATTTCTTCATTGATAACTTTCTTGATTTTCTCTTCCTAATTCTACTTGATCTTTTTTCTCTTGGTATTCCAATATCTCTTATTTATACCTTAGTTTTTTCACTTTTCACACTCTGCTTTTTATTATGATCATTTTATTCATTCATTCAACCTACATATGTTGAGGAGGGTTGGAAGTGAGGGTGGTAGGAATCTGAGTTTGAAGCTGAGAAGTAATTTTTAAAATTTCATCTCACTTAATCCTTTCAACAACCTTTTAAAGACCTATGATTATGCCCTTTTTCAGTTGGGGAAAACACCGGAGATGATTATGTTACCTGCTCCAAGCTAGACAACTGGAAGAAGATAAAATCAAAACTTGAGATCAAGCCTTCTAACGTTATCTCCTATGTTCTCTTCCACTATTCCATGTTCACTTCTCTCTGGATTAGCAAATAAAAGGCCTTCCTGAGGAATCCACCTCTTTCTTGTTTTGCTTGGTAAACACTGTAGCTTCTATTTTAATGATTTAATCTGAATTTGAATGCCTTAAAGGGAACTGCACTGTTCAGTCCTCCGGAGTCCCCACCAGTTTGGCTGGTCTAACTCCAGGTAGTTTCCTACATTTAAATCACCTTCTTGTCCTAACCGGTTTGGCTCAGTGGATAGAGCATCGGCCTGCGGACTGAAAGGTCCCAGGTTCGATTCCAGTCAAGGGCATGTACCTTGGTTGCGGGCACATCCCCAGTAGGAGATGTGCAGGAGGCAGCTGATCGATGTTTCTAACTCTCTATCCCTTTCCCTTCCTCTCTGTAAAAAAATCAATAAAATATTTTTTAAAAAATCACCTTCTTGGCCCTTCTGGCTTGTGAGATTTTGACCCCTGAAGGTTCCTTCAAGCCCTGTTTTGGAATTCCACCTCCAGAGTCTGGAAGGCTGGGCTGAAGTCACAGCTAGTTCACCCACTAGTCTTACTGTAAGAATTTTTTTTTAAAGGATTGAACTTTCTCTTTTACTAAAACGAAGAGAACGTACCCCTTTTCCCTTTTCTTAAAGGATTTTCTTGAGTGAACTTGTAACCACAAATCCTTCCACTGTCCCTTTTGTAAGTCTACAGTTGCCTTGCTCCAAGCTGTAAGGACCTGCTTGTCATAGAGATAACAAAGTTTTAGTTTTTACTTTTTTTTTTTTTAAATACAACAAATGTTTAATGAGCAAATTCGTCTTAGCAAATATGAAACCACCACAGAGGAGGAGGGGCAGGGCGGTGGGACTGGAGAGGAGAGAACCAACTACGTTAAGAAGCCAAGGGGAGGACTAGAGGCCAAAGGGCTGGAGCTGCGGAGCTGGGGAGGGAGAGGGAGGGCAAAGGGCCAGAAAACAAAATTCAAAATAGTTTGGCCATAAAATATAAACACGCTGTTCCTACAGTGGAAAAGGGAAGGAGGGGGTGAGGTATGAGGGAGGAGAGGCTGTCTTGGGGAGGGGCTGTGGGGTCCTACCCGACCCTGCCGTGCACCCCTCCCCAACCAGACCCCTTCCCTCTGTGTCTGTGGGTGCGTGTGTGGGCCGTGTGCACACTTCCCAGGAGCTGCTGGGAGAGCTCTGGGGTAACCAGGTGAGTTTAGCGGGGTCGCTCAGAAGGGCACCCGGCACCCAGGAGGTGAGTGTGTAGGCGTGGTGACTATTTTTAGCACTTTTCCCCCACTCCGAGGACAAGGCCAAACCACCTGCACACAAGGTCACATAGCAGCCAAGCTCTGCACCAAGTTCTGGCCACAGCAGTTCTGCTGCCTGCACGGGCCCTGGGTGCCCGCGGGCCAGAGGAGGGTGTGTAGGAGACGCCGGAGAGCGGCGGGGCAGAGGGCAGACGCACGCATCTTCCCGCAGCCGGGCACCTCGACGCCGTCCACGGGCCGGGGGACCTCGATGGACTTGACCAGCCCGTACTTGCTGCACTCGTCCCGCACGTCCTCCACGATCTCCTCGTACTCCCCGTCGTCCAGCAGCTCCTCGGGCAGCACCGTGTTCAGGAGGCACAGGACCTTCGTGGGGTGGCCGCCCATCTGCACCTGGGAGCTCAGCAGGCCCGGCACTTGCAGGGTCACGGGGGACTGGTGGATGGTGCTCGGCGTGGCATTCTTGGCTCCCACACCCGCCCTCTGGACCAGCAGTTTCTTGTCCCCCAGCTGCATCCCGTTCAGCCCCGCCATGGCCTGATCCGTGACGTTGATGTCCACATACTCACAGAAGGCGCAGCCCTTGGAGAGCCCGGTGGCGCTGTCCTTGACCAGGTTGAAGGCCTTGAGAGGCCCGAACCATGTCAGCAGCTCTTTCACCTGGTCATCGTTGAGGTAGTTGGGTAAGCCCCCGATGAACAGCTTGTGGGCCGAGTCCGGGACCGCAGTGGGCACAGCTCCTGCAGTGCCGTTGGTGCTGGGCTTGGCAGGTAACGCCCCTCCCCCGCCCAGGGGTCTGAGAAGGCTGGGGCTGGGGCTCAGGGATCAGCAGCTGGGGGTCCACCAACCAGGGCCCCACTGTCTGAGCTCCCCCACGGGTCAGGGGTGGGCCCCTCTCCAGCTGCAGGGGCCTGGGTCCCACCCCAAGGGTCAGCCAGGGCCCCCGCAGGGGCAGCAGGCCTCCAGGGGTCCCCAGAGGCCGGGGTAGGGGCAGGACCACCCCAGGAGTCAGCAGCTGGAGGAACAGGAGGTCCCACCCAAGGGTCCGAGGCAGGGGTGGCTGTGGGGATGGTAGTGGCCATGGGTGCTGGCCTTGCCCCACCCCCACCCTAGGGGTCCGAGGCCGTCGGAGGAGCCGGGGCCGTAAAGACATCAGTGAGATCCATGAGGGATGACTCCTGACCCCCGGTCTCCCGCTTGCTCTCCTCTATGGCCATCTGCAGCCTCAGGTCATCCCCATGGTGGATCCGCTCCTCCGTATCGTGCTCCTCTGGGCTCAAACTAAGGGCCAGCTGGAGCTGAACATCATCCTCGGGCCGCAGGACGGGGGCTGGTCCGTCTCCTCCTTGCTCATGGCCAAGGCCAGCTGCAGCTGCAGCTCCTCCTCCCCGCTGCTCTGCAGCCACACCTGCTCGGCCTTGGGCGCCCCCCACCCCCCTCCCCGCCAACCCACTGCTGCTGAGGAGGCCGTGACAGTCTGCGCCAGCTTCTCCTTGGTCTTGAGCACTTGGACTCGCTCCTCCCGCAGCCGGTCCTCGTCGGCTGTAGGGCCGCCAGCTGCTTGGCCTCCTCTCGCGCACGTTGACGCCCTGGTCCTTGCCGTCGCGGCCCACGTACTGCAAGTCCTTGAGCGTCTGCACGGCGTACATGTTCTCCTGGCACTGCTGCGACACAAGCTCCAAGCCCGTCTTGATGGGGTGCTCCATCAGCGTCATGGCCTTAGTAGACGTGCCGCCAGTTCTTGCCGTGGTCGCTGAGCCGCTTCCAGATCATGCTCATGATCTCCGATGGCGTTGTAGGTGAGGTCGGCGATCTCAGACATGAGCGAGCTGGACGGGCCCCAGGGGTCGTTGCTCGTGGCCTCGCGGACCTTGAGCTCGGCCTCCCAGTAGTTGTGGACGATGTTTTTCATCTGGCGCCGCAGCGGCGAGGTCGACACGGTGGCCGGTGGTGGTGCCAGGGGCGGGCCCCCTGGGTCGTGGGCAGAGGGGGCAACTGCAGGAGGGAGGCCACCGCAGGGCTGGCAGGTCACAGCCTCTGAGGAGAGGAGGGGCC